AATGTTTCCCTCACCAGGCACTGGGGGTGGCCTGGCAGTTTTCACATATAGGTTATACTGGACCAGCGAGATCGCTCAGCGGGCTAATTGCCTGCTTAGGCAAGTGCAGGGACCTGGATTTGATCCCCGTACCACATGCCCCGCCGGCCCTGCACCCAGGCACACCGAGCCAGCAACAAGGCCAGGCATGGTGGCACACGCCTGTAATCCCACTGCTGGGGAGGCTGAGACAGGAGAATCGCTACAAGTCTGAGTTGCATAGTGAATTCCTGTACCAAATACATTAAAAAAGAAAAAAAAAGTATTTGACACATATAGGTTATATATTCTTGATTTGAAAATTTACTTTGTGATCAAAAGATTTTGAATCAGGATTGGGGATATAGCTCAGCAGTGTATGTGCCTGCCTGGCAAGCACAAGGTCCTGAGTTTAAACCCTGGTACACACACACACACACACACACACACCAAAAAAAAAAAGTAATAATAAAGATTTTGAATCATTTCAGATTTCAGATTCTTAGGTAAGAGTGCTTGACATAAATGTTCTGATTTTGAAAAACCTCCCAATCTGAAACCATTGGTGTCCCAGCCGTTCAGATGAGGATACACAGCCTCTGCCTCCTCTTCCAGCACTGGAACTGGCTTCCAACACCTCCCCACCCCAGCTCACCTATGTGAGTTTGGGTTCCTGTTGGATCTGAAGTAGAAGAGCAGGCTCTGAGGGATAAGCTGGGATGACAACCTAATCCCCAGTGCTCAGGGTGCTTGGGGGGAGGGGCCCACTGACACAGGACAGCCCATGCCGACCAAAGGACTCCTTGGGCCTGTCCCCCCATCCTGCTGGGCACTGCCTCTGGCTCTCTGTTTCTGTGCTTCCAGCTCCAGGGCAAGAACTCAGGGCATTTCCAGCTCAGCAGAAAGGAGGCAGCACATAGCACTGTGGCATCCAGCCTATGATTGTGACCAGATCCAGGCCACGCTGGGCTAAGCCTCCTTCCTGTCTTGTCCACTGCATGAGGGGCTCTGAGACGCACAGAGAGCAGATGCAGGCAGTGGGCTGAGGCTGCAGCTCAGGGCAGAGCTTGGCTGGAGTGTGGGAGGCCTGGCTGCATGCTGGCATGAGAGAGTAAAAGGGAAGGAGTGGAGGCTGAATCCTGGCTCCCACCGTGCGGCAGCAAGTCACTCACAGAAACGCCACAAGGAGAAGACCCCTAGCGCTCCTAGTAGCTGTACATCGTGAAATGCAGTTTTATAGGAACGTGTACCTGGTCCTGGTAGCACAGGCCTGTAATTGCAGCACTGTGGGAAGCTGGGGCAGGAGAGTCGCAAACTGGTGTCCAGACTGGGCAATTGAGCAACTTAGGTAGACTTTGTCCCAAAATAAAGAGCAGAAAAATACAATGAATAAAATAACATAACTAAATTAAAATGAATAAAAAAATAAAATAGCTGTTTTAAATCTCCCAGCTACACACTTTATACTGTATATTACATTATATATTACTTAAATATATAATATCTAATCTACTTTCCTTGATCAATTAGATGCTAATAATTATATTACATTATAGATCAGATACTTTAATGCTTAGAAGCTTAGTCACCAGAGAATTAGATTTTAACTTGGTTGTCAGTGTGAAACCCAGAAACATAAAGGGAAAAAAGCATTTTAGAATATAAAATGTCATCAAATTAGGACAACATTCATATTTTTAATGGATAAAAATATAAAGAATTAAAAAAATACAAAGAATTAAAATTCCTAAAATACAAAAATACTTTTACAAATCTAGAAGAAAACTCACCAGCCGACAACAATATCATCAAGGGGTACAAGGAAGAGTCCTGCCCCTGGAGAATTGAAGGACACCTATGATGCACACAAAAGATACACAGCTTACCTAAGAGCACTTTAGCATTTTTAAATCACTTTAAGGGAAAAAAAATCAAGCTATATTTATAAGAAAAATGACTGTTTCTCTCACCTGGTAGAACAGGAAGCTTTTTAATAAACAAACATCAGAAATAGTTTCCCCTAATAAACAGGCAGACGCCCTGGAAGACCAAACGTCCTGACAGGAACTAGCAGTCAGCAGGGCTCCAGGTAGAATTTATAGGAATTCCACCTACAAGGTGGGTGATGAAGGGAAGCTGGGTGCTCACAGTGGATTTTCGCAAATCAGCTGAGGTTTTCCTTCACTCAACCCGTGTAAACACCTCAATCATGTAGAGACACTGAAAACACTGCAGTAAGGGAAGACTGGGGGTGAATGCACACAGCTGTTCACTCAGTGTCCTCTGTCTAGAAAAAAACTAAGATAAAGAAGAAATAAGAGAGCTGGCTCCCGCTGACTGGCGTTTGCGTTGGGTCACCTGCTGAGCATTTGCTAAGGATGCGCCTACTGAGTGAGGTCAGGTGCAGCTGCCACACCCTGGAGCCCAGCCTTGCCCTCCCTGAGCATCAGAACCAGCTGGGCCCTCTTCAACTTTTGCACAGATTCCTGGGTCGCTGTGTCTAATTCCAGCTGAGTGGGTCTGCCCTGGGCCTGGGTGCAATGCTGATAGTAACTGTGCACCCAGGCATGGTGGTACACAACTGTCATCCCAGCATTCTGGGTGGCTGAGGCAGGAGGAATCCAAGTTTGAGCCTAGCTTAGACAACTTAGCAAGAATCTGTCTCAATATAAAGAATGAAAAAAGATCTGGGGCTATAACTTAATGTGTAGGCACTTTGAAATCCCCAGTATGACAAAAATAAATTTAAAAATATTAATTGCATTTCAGTTTGGGTGGTGAATGGCTAAGTATTACAAGTTGCTCATTTACAGACTACCTAGGACAGATTATATTCAAAATATGCAATTTGTAATAGTAGGTTCATGCTTGGAGTGCCTGTCATTTTGGCCTTCTGAATATGGGCTGCTTGTCATGACATGCCAGTTGCTGCC